TAGCTATTTGTGACTTGTTCCTTTACTTTTATTGTTAATTTTGATTTTAGCAAATGAATTCTTTGGGCTGACTTGTGCACTCTAGTCTGTTGTTTTCTCTTGTATGCAAGGTACTATCCGAACCAGAGGTACTGCTTCTTCTGAGCCATTGTTGAACGATCCTGAGATTGAACGCACTGCAAGGAGGAATAACAGCAACAGGAGGATAAGGAGGACTAGAGCAAACCCAGTCAACCAACCAACCAATCAGATCCCTGAAGTTAAAAATTCCAATTTTAGAAAATAAAAATAAGAATTAAAAATATGAATTAAAAATAAAAAATTAAAATAAGAAATTAAAAAAAGAATTAAAAATAAAAATTAAAAATAAGAATTAAAAATAAGAAATTTCCGACGGATTTATATTTTCGTCAGAAATTTCCGACGAAAAATTTCTAACGGAAAATTCCGTCTGAAATTTCCAACAGAAATATAAATCCGTCAAAAATTTCTGACAGAAATATCCGTCGGAAAATATAAAATTTCCAACAAATTCATATCCGTCGAAAACTCGCGTTTTTCTTGTAGTGGACACTCCATCATTAAGTCACCATATATGATCCACCTATCAATTCCATCATACTCACCTAGTCATTTGGTTGGGTCATTGACTCAGATACACCATAGTTGGGCATCAATGGTTCATCATACATGTATCCACATTAATAAAATATTGTTCACTTTGAGTCCAAGTCTTCAAAATTTTCTTTTTGGTCATGTCCCAAAAGGTCTTTTAGGCTTACCCTTCTTTATAGTGGAAACTATCAGTCCACAAGTATATTCAATGGTGATTCATAGAGTTCAATCATGCTCTAAGTACAACCCTTACAACGAAAGTCATCAATCATGAGTATAGGTGGTCCGTAGAGAGCTCAATCATGTTCTAAGTACTTGTATTGTCGCTCCATCGATAACTCACCATATAAGGTCCACCTACCGATTCCATCAGTCCATGAGTATAGGTGGTACACAAAGTATAAGCATGTTTTAAGTACTTGTATCATCACTCTATTGTTAACTCACCACATAGGACCCACCTACCAATTTCTATTTGCCTGGTCGGGTTATCGACTTTGATACACTAAAGTTGGACATTAGGAGTTCACACACACATATCATCATATTGGTAAGATATTGTTCACTTTGAATTTAAATCTTCATAGTTTTGCTTCATCTCCACAAAAAGGCCTCTTATGTTTACCCCTCTTTATAGTGGAAACTATCAATCCACAAGTATAGGTGGCCTATATAGCTCAACGATGCTTTAAGTACTTGTATTATCACTCCATCGTTAACTCATAATACAAGATCCACCTACCAATTCCATCATTCATATTCGCATAGCCACTTGCTCCATTGTTAATTCACACTACAAGATCTACTTGCCAATTCTATCATTCATATTTGCATATAGCCTCTTGGTTGAGTCATCGATTCTGATACTACTATTGGACATTAAGGGTTTATACACATGTCTCTACATTGATATGATATTATAAATGTTGGACTTATATCCTTATGATTTTACTTTTAGTCATTTTCGAAAATGTTTCATACTAATGAATATCATGTATTTTATAAATTTTTATTTTTTTTCAAGATTCAGCAATATGAAACTTTATTTGTACACATCAACATAAAAGAATTAGTCTCTAATTATCGCTAAAAAGAATATATATGTAGTGTGCAAACAAATAGAATGGTCATGCACAAGAGAAAATAAAAAATAAAAAAGGGTACGAAATTGAAGGGGAGAGATGGAACTAGAAGGCAATAATTGATTGAATGGTGTGTCAGATTAAGAAATAGGGTACATGCATAAAAAATGGATGTACCAAATAAATAACGACCGAGTGTGAATAACAGGTTTGTGCCGGGCCATAGTGATTAAAACAAGTACTTGACCATCAATGAATTTGAGTTGTATTATTGCAGTGAGCAAGTTGGTGAGTGGACCATGCTGTACAATTACGCTAACTCATCTATCTGTCAGCTACCATTGCAAACTTTTCGATAAAGATAGCTATGCATATTGCACAAAATGATATATATTTGTTCATTCTGAATACTCCACTGCACTGCCTTGTGTTTCAACCAAATCCAACTTCAAAAAATTATAATAATAATACTTATTATTATTATAAAGTGGGGTATGGCATGGGCACGTGTGCTAGGGACGGTGCTTCAAACATTTTAAGGAATACTGACATTGACACAGCTATCATCAACTAATAGTCATTTGTATAGGAAACATTTTATGACATGATTCTGAATTATTATGGCCTTGAATAATTTATGAATGTTGTATAATTGAGTTTTATTAACATTTTGTGTCATGCAAAGATTAATCTCAAGACCATGATCACGTAATAATTTCTGATTGAATATGCTTAGATAACGTGTCCCTTCGATGTGATGAAGCCATGAGATTCATCTACCAACAATACCTAAATCCAGGAGGAAGAAGAAATTTTGAGAATGAATGAGTGAAGAGGTTAGAGGGGAAAGGGACATCAATCATCGTCCATATATATATGCTTCCATCTTTTTCCACACCCAACCTTTTCGCATACAAACATGTTAATGGTCAGTCTCTACTTTTTGACCATAAAGGTGGGAAGTTTTTAGCGGTTTTCCATTGTTTTTGTTTAAATGCAGTAGTGGTACTACATAACATTGAATTGGCAGTAGTAGTTGGTTGATTTTGACACTTGGTCTATTTGATCAATCAGAATACTGCAAAAGTTTCTTCACTTACTCCCTTCCCCTGCTGCCACATAAAGTCCCAATAAATGTCAGCATGGTGAATAAAATGAACCAGTCCATTTAATAGCAGGTTTAATTCCACTTTTTTTTTATACTATTTTTCATATATTTTATCATTTAATTTTTAAAATTATATTGGCATTTAAAATTTAAATTTATTTATATTTTATTACATCATTAATTGACTGTTGACAACCAATTCTAATAAGTGTTGATTCCCAAATTTTAAGATTTTAAATTCAAATCTTGAGTTTAATAAAAAAAATTAATGTGAGAGAGATAATATATCACATCAATAATTAATGTTAAATGATAAAATATATATTTTAAAAATTTAAGTGACAAAATTTATGAAATCTTAAAATTTGAGTGATAAAAAGGTAATTAACCCTTAATATTATTATTAAATTAAATTAAATATATATAAAAAGAAAGAAACAATTGTTTACAGTCTAAACTGTGACCAAAGTATGGAACTAAGATATTCGGTGCACGTTTGGCTATGAGAGCCAATGGTCATTGGATTGGTCTTTGTTTGACTCACATTATTCTTGGTAGCAATCTTGGAAAATTTGATATCCATGTGGGTCCCTCTTAAATTAACTATTTTTGTGTTAGAACTTGTTAGGTGATCTTGAGCATAGTTAAAGCAAGACAATATAAAAAATAAAAAGAAAAGAAAAGAAATGTTAGTATACCAAATTTTTTTGCTAGAAAAAGTAATAGTGAAATCCTAGTCATTTAATGGTAAACTGAAAGAAGGAATTTGTATTGTATGGTGCAACTGAAAACAATGAGTGATGAAGATGAAAAGTGGTATCCATTTAATTGAAGTGGATGGCTAGGTAGCAATAATAATAGCATTTTACATTTGCTTTCTGGTGTGGCGCCATTGCAAAGGGCAAAGTCTTGTTTTGTGAAGAAGGGGTGCTTTGCTTGATGCTTGGAAAAACAAAAACAAAAGGCATGAGGATGTGATGCCCATTGTTCTAGTTTTAGTTTTATCCATCCACAAGCTTTGTTTTGTGAGTTGTGACTTTGTAACCCTATAAACCACACACAAAACCACACCCTCTCATTTCTCACACACTCTTTTCCTTTTGTTTTGTCCAAGACATTGGCTTTGGAGTTTGAGGTACAATCTTGGAAGGATTCTCCACATTCCTCACCACCCTTTGTGTCCTCCAACTTCTCTGCAACATTTCCTCACTTTCTAGACCCTTATCTCACGGTACACGCATTTGCCTCTAAATCTTTGAACTTTCCATTCATTTCTTTTTTGTTTCTTTAAAATCTCAACATGAGAATCCGTGTTTTGGATCAATGCTTTGAATCTTGAAATACAACTTCTCTTTCAAGTTAATTAAACCTCCCATGTTATTCTCATTCCATCGTTTTTATTATTAGTAATAAGTAGTATCAATACTCCACTCAACTCATGCAAATAAGTTATGCTTTCACAAACATGTTTGATGTCTGATTTTTCTTTTCAAACATAATGGCTGTGATAGTTCCACTTCCACACCTATCATAATGCCATTCAGGAGCATCGTGCGTGAGCTCAAGGAGATTGGAGAGGGCATCAGCAACATGTATAGAAGAGGGGGAGAGGCCAAGCATGTGCATCGCCATGGAAAATCTCACATTGCACCAGAGTGTTCCTTACCACTGCCACTGCCACTACCACCACCATCATCACCATCTTCATCCTCATTGTCGTCGTCATCATCGCAGAGCCGGTGGGCTAATTTGCCACCTGAGTTGCTATTAGACATAATTCAAAGGTTGGAAGCCAGTGAAACTTCATGGCCTGCACGTAGAGCACTTGTGGCATGTGCCTCAGTTTGTAGGGTGTGGAGAGAGATAACAAAGGATGTGATAAAGACACCAGAAGAGTGTGGTTTGCTCACTTTCCCCATATCACTGAAACAGGTAATTTTTGCTCTCTGGTTATGTAATCTTGGAAGCACATGGAACTAATATAATATGTGATTTCTTTTGTCTTTTTATCTTGTTGATCCCTCTTGTTTATCAGCCTGGCCCAAGAGACTCTCCAATCCAATGTTTTATTAGGAGAGAAAGAGTGACTTCAACATATTGTTTATATCTCGGTCTGAGCCCAGGTAATTCTCATAATTTATTCTCCACTTGAAAATGGTTTTGTTAGAATTTCAGTTAAATATTGAGGTTTCTCTTTGAATATAAAATTTGTTTATGGATGTTGAATCACCCTCTTTGAAGATCTTTTTTCTTTTCTTTTCTTATATTTTGGTAGTTTCTTTCTTAGAGAGATCTTTGATCATTCTGTGTTTCTAGTAAAGCATGACTTTCTAAGTTTTTATTCACGAAGCTTATGAAGATTATAGGTTGGATCATTTGCTTTGGCAAGATAAATTCTTATAAATGGGAAGACTTCTTTTTCCTTTTCTTTTTCTTCTTTTTGTATAGCATTTGTACTGACAAATGATGATTCTAGGATATTTGTTAAAAATGTAACTGTAGCACCACTGATGAAAATTATCTTTATGTTCACATAATTTATTATTCATTTGGAAATAGTTCTGATAGAAATTCAGTATAACATGTGATTTCTCTTTGAATCTAAAATTGGTATATGGTTGTTAAAACACCCTCTTTGCTCCTTGAGGATTTCTTTTAAGGTAGTTGCTTCTTCCTTGAGATATCTTTCATCATTCTGCTTTCTAATCCAAGTTTCAATTCATGAAACTTCTGCTTTGGCAGGAGAAATTCTTAATAATTAGGCTTCCCTTGTGTTTCCTAATTGTAAAGCACTTCAATTGATGGATGATGATTCAAGGATGTTTGTTATAAATGTACTGTGGCAGTGTTTAACAAGATTGGGCTGTTTACCTCCCATGAAATCCTATTTTAAATTTTGAGACTTGCTTTAATGTTCTAGTTAAATTTTGCTTCATATTCTCGTTCAATCACTTTGGAAGTGGATCTTACTCCTTTAAAGTGAGCAACTTATTTTAGATTGAAGAAAGTAATCTTAGTAGTTGTATAGAAACTCATGAGTCAATATTACATTTATATGCATAACAAATCATGCATGCATGTTGGAATATTACAGTTGATTTTCTCATCAATGATTGAGATTGCTTGCTTTATACTTGCTTTAGAAAGCCAAATCCAAAATTGAATTACAGACTGCTTGGGTAGAAGATTAAAAGAATTTTTGAGAGCTTGTCTAGTGTAAAAAAACCTTTCTTTTGAGCATAGAAACACTAAAAAATTATTCTAAGCTTATATTCAAACATGTTCATATTGAATGCTACAAGGATATGTTTGACACTTTGACTGGAATCTACTTTCCTTTCTATGCTCCTGTTGCACTTCATTTGAGAATTGTATTTCTATATTTGCAGCTCTTTCTGGTGATATGAGCAAATTGTTACTGGCAGCAAAGAAAATTAGAAGGGCAACATGCACAGAATTTTTTGTATCATTGGTTGCTGATGATTTCTCTCGGGCTAGCAACACTTACATTGGAAAGCTGAGGTTAGTCTCACATCTCTCTGCCCCTTGTCTTTACGCTAATACACTATTCTACATGTCTACTCTTGACTTGATGTGTAAGCAATAAACAACAGGTCTAATTTTCTGGGCACCAAGTTTACGATCATGGATGGCGAGCCCCCGCATGAATCTTCACTTCCATCGAATTGCAAGTTGCAGAAAAGAGTCCATCTGAAGCAGGTACTTCCTAAGGTTGCTGTTGCTAACTACAAAGTGGCCACAGTATCTTACGAACTCAATGTCCTCCGAACAAGAGGTCCGAGGCGAATGCGGTGTATGATGCACTTAATCCCTATATCTTCAATCCAAGAAAGAGGAACTGCCCCTACTCCTTTGAAGTTTACCAATTATCTTAATGATCAAGAATCTACCCCTATCCCAGACTCAAAAGGAAAGAAGCCAGAAGTTGTTGAGTTGGACTCAATTGGCACTGAGAATACTCAAGAATCAACACAGAGAGCAAGTGAACCATTGATTTTGAAAAACAAAGCTCCTAGATGGCATGAACAATTGCAATGTTGGTGCTTGAATTTCAAAGGAAGGGTTACAGTGGCCTCTGTGAAGAACTTCCAGCTTGTGGCAGCTG